TGGGAAAAATGCATACATTGGGTAGGTCCAACTAAATATTCACAGGTGGTTTTTGTTTTTAAAATCTCTTTTTTTCCATATTCAATATTTTCCTTATATCAAACATATTTTAGAAACCTGTAGTTGACCTATATCCACAGATAGTGATGGTCTCTGTGCTTCATAAAAAGCTTCAGATGAAGAGACAAGCTGTTCCTTATTTCATGAAGACTCACTTTTTAATCTAACAGTGTTAGAAACTAACACTGAAATGCTCTTAGCACTGATATACAGTGCACCTCTTCCAAAAATATGGAGTATTAGAGCTTCCCAGATAATACCTTGCACAAGACAGCACATAAATGCTTCCTCAGACGGAGCCTTGGTTCCAGGGCCTGAGGTTCATAAAACCACAAGGGAAGGAAACACCCATCCTTCCCCTGTTTCACAGCTTTCTTCCCTGAGCAAACATTTTGAAGGCAGTTCCTGGAGACAAACCTTGAAGGATTTCCTCAGCCAGTTTCCATTTCTTATTGGTATTCCTATAGCAGAGGCACCAACCCCTCATTTGCATCTCATTTGTGTCAGAGGGTTTCAGTCTTTCCTGTTTATAGTTTATATGCCATCATGGCAGCAGTGCCATTAGGATAATTATATATATTGTTATGTTAGGGCTCACCTGCACACTACCAGGAGACGCTTTGTGTCTTAGATAACGAGGTCAGCAATTTCCAAGATCTGCAGAACAAGGACAAATTGTTTTGGCAATATGCCCAACTTACTCCCAAGCTTGACCTACCACCTTCCCCTACAGGAGACCCCATCTGCTCTTTTGCATTACTGTTTATACCTTCTGCTTTAGGCTCTTCCTCCAGGATGAATCATACCATGTTTTATCCTCTTCAGAAGCTCCCATACTGAAGGCCACACCAGCACAGAGGCCAATGGAAAATTCTTCCTGTTAAGATAATCACAGAAGTAAGGGTGAGGGGGCAATAGAAGAAATCATACGCCAAAATCATATCTGAGTAAGTTTTTCTAAATCACCATCAGTGGAACACACTTCTAAGCTGGATTTGCATTACAAGTAGCAAGAGGAAGCACAAAATAATCTGCTATTCACAAATGTACACACAATGGACTCACAAATAGTCTCCCAAACCCTCCCATTGCACTGTTGCTGCCTCCACAAGGAACAGGACATCTCAGCTCCACTGTAGCTTGTGAGATCTGATAGTCCAGGTTTTATTTAGCATTTAATCTCAGGTCACATTCAAGGCCAGCTAACACAGCTAATTCCTCAATTCATACCATTGCACTGAAATTCTGAGGCACCTGAATTTTCAGATCACCATGCTTTGTAGACCTAATAATTCTGACTTGACTGTGCACGTAAATTGAAGATATGGCCCTCAAAACAGACATATTACAAGTGAATTCCTGGTCCAAACAGAATTGATAGTGAAACTATCACTAAGAAATACACATCTTAAACCAGAGCTGTCACGCTCAGCAGCTCTGCAGAGAGTGAGCTCCATACAAAGTAGAGCGGCTGGCTTAGGGAAAGCATTGCAGCTACCTAATGTGCTAACCAGCAAAACAAAGCACCATGCACCCTCCGTGGGTGTTAAGCCGCATGTATGCTTCCTATAAAACAATCATCCAACCTACGTGGTCTACCAAGGTGTTAGCACAGGGCCTGCTACCCCAGGCTCACTTGCCACTCACAGAAGAAACAGTGCACCCCAATACTTAGCACTGCATGAGATTTTGCAGCCTTTTGACACACCCTGAGCCAGATATCATCTCCTTGGCTAAGGCTTGTACTGTATCTGTACACAACTGTTGCTCTCACTGTTGCTATAGCTGTACATTATGAAACCCCTCAAATACGCAATACATCCGTTTTTGGCACAGCTCTCTTGAGCAGGTGTGTTGTGCAATGCACTCTTCAGAGCTAGCAGGGATTAAACAGCATTTTGTGGGTCCCAGGAGATGCAGTTTATATTCGTCTGAGCACCATAAGGCCAAGTTTGCTCTATTCAGCAGAGCCAAAGGCTGTTGCAAATTCAGACACACAAAGACAGGAGGAGAAAAGAATTATGAAGTTTAGGACAAGTTCAGCACAGATGAATTTTTAAGTTTCCAACTTGTAACAATTTAAGATAAAGCTTTCTATATAAGCATGTTCCAAAATGCAGACATTTGGAGAAAAGTGTCTCTGGGCTAAAAATGTTCTGACTTATTCCAGGGAAGGTAAAGGAAGCTGAGAAGCAGATGTTTTGTGTAAAATATCTTCCTAAAACTCTGCTATATGAAGCTTTTGGGATCTTGTCACTTTTGTTGAAGCGTCGCCTTAGATAATACGACGTGGTTGGGATAGTTTGAAAACTTGGAATTGCTAGGCTTTATTGCTAGAGGGTTTGGTGCCTTAAAACACAGTGACACCATGTGGCCAATCGCTCAGGATGGAAACAACACACTCATGGAAAGGGCAGTGTACCATTCTCTCATTTATCTTTGGCTTTATTGAATTTGTCTTAGGCATGCTTGAAACTATATTAACTACTGAGAGCAAACTAGGTTAGAATCTTCATCTGGGCAGGTAAACAAAGCCAAAGCCAATGATCAGTTTGGATTTCAGCATATGTTCAGAAGACTCAAGCTTGCAAAATTGTCCAGTAAAACCTACCTCTAAATTCAGCAAGCAAATACCCATAAGAACAGTTTGCACATATGTCAAAACATCATATTCACTTGCAAGCAATTTGTAGAGCTATGATTCAACATTCTCAAAAAAGTGCACCTGGAAGTTGCACTTAAATATCTATAGTTTTATTCTGCAGTAGTATCACAAAAACTTGCAATTAATTTTGAAAATGGAAATATATTTGCCTTGCTCTCATGGCTTGTTTTTCTTCCAAATGGATACAGTTACCCCCACTTATTTTTACAGATATTTCTGCATGAAATATTTAAAGTTGCAAGTGGGAATATTGCTGCTAGGAATCTTCTCAGTAGGTTTGTTATCACTCTGCATTATATAATATGATGGCTGATGTGATGAATCCTCTCTCCCTAGCACAGTCCTTTTTTCCAAATGAGGTGCTGCACATTGGAAAGGTTCAACTCACAACAAATGGTAAGAATGGGCAGATCTCTTTGAAAGACAGACACACACACGGGCAGGCAAATAGGTAGATGAAAACTGAATACAGAATACCCCTTAAACAGAAGGAGAAAAATATACTAGTTAGCTCTTCACAGGGAATATATTCACTCAGTAGTACTAATGCTCATTAAGAAATGTGTATTTTCAGGCAGTGTTCAGAGCACCTTGCTCTCAAGGGCAGAGAGGAAGTGAAAATACAACAGTATTGTTGCATAGGCTTTGCAAAGTCAGTGTGCCATCAATGTCTTTTTTGCTGATGAGTTACATAACATGCTGGTGTCATTTTTTCTATTCCATACTGAACTCCTGGTGAGCAATTTATGTCAATACTATCACAGTGCATCTGAATGTAAATGAAATAGGCTAATTTGAAAGGTGATCTAAAAGGATTTTCACCCACATATATAATAGTTTCACCTCTATACATAGCAGTTAGAGCCTAGGAAGCACCAGCTAATTAGATACAGGACTTTCTGACTGTTCAAAACAGGAATTTGAGCTGAGGAAGATTACTGACCTGACCCTTCAAATTTTGTCACCCTCACTGGTGAGATGATGCTGCCATCTTGTGACTTGCAAATTTTACTTAGCCACAGGTGACACTTTTTCCCCTAGACTGGGAGGATAGAGTACATGATCTCCCTGGTACAGAGGTGCAGTAATGATGCTTTGAGCAGCCAAGCCTTCTTTTCTATTCAGACCCACATTGTCTCTGCTTAGTTTTGTTATCTGTCTTCCATGGACTGCACCCTTCAGTGTCAACATGGTTGCTAAAGGAATTGCTGTCCATGGACAGGCCAGAGTAGAGGCAATCCTGCAGAGGGGATGAAGCCTACAGTTTAAAGGACTAGGGGTTTGTAATAAAAGCTAAAGAATATCCCCCTGCTGCCAAGAGAATCATATGTGCTGGAAAGCAAAACACACATTTAGCCAGCAGTAGAAAATTGCAGTATACACTGAAAAAAAATTAAAAAGACATTTTCTTTACAGCTGGGAAGCATTATTATAAATTATTACATAGTTTGGTATATTGAGGATAAAACTCTCCATCATCTCAAGTGTAAAGTTTGTATATTTATGGTAACATTTTTCTTGCTTGAAAATGTTGTCACTGTATTCTGAATCTAAATAGGGTTGTTCCATCTGCTCACATTAAATAAAATAGCTGTATGTCAAATGGATATGCTGTTCCCTGAGCAATACAGGCTTCAGCTGTGCAATGACTGCTTACCCAGCGTTTTGAAATACCTGTAAAAAGGTTAGTGTGACTGCAATCACATTGAAAAGCAAGCTGGGATCCCCTCTCCTAGTGAGGCCTCGTTCTTTCCTTATACCCCAACCACATGTGCCTCCATCAGTGTGTACTCCCGCAGCACTTTTCAGCTGAAGACACAGAATCAAGTATTGAGCTGCTGGCAATACGAAATGCATGGCAAGGCAGGAGCAGGCTCATACCAGGAACAAGCAGGTTTGAGGGCTCTGAGCCAGCAAGGCAGCTGCTCTGAGCTCAGATAGATTGTTTGGGAGAGCCCCCAGACAGCATGTACAGCTAAAAGGTTCCCTCAACACCTCTACCTGGAGACAAAGCATCAATCCTTCCTCTCTACCAAAGCCTCAACCACCATTGCACACCCAAATCATATTTCCTTTCAAATCCTTGCTTGCCAAAGGAAACCAAACCATCCTGCACTCAGTTTCTGATCAGAGTTTCCAGGACATACTGTATGTTCTTCAGGATATGGCATAGCAGAACAAGAGCTCCCAAATAGCCACTGCAGGTTATGTTTACCCATACAGTAAACTATGATTCTAGAATATGGAAAGAGGAAAAATGAACCTCTATACTCACCTAGCATCCATTTTTGTAACATGTTGATCACTTTGGCATCAATCTATTACTCATAGATGTGTAAAATCCCACTGATAATAATCTGAGGTCCTTCAGGATATGTACCATATTTTCTCATATAATCTCATGGTCAAAAGTCCTAGTGACAGTGTTCAGGACTCCACCTAGTGAGCTAAAACAAGAAGTCTTTAGAGCAGACAGATATTGCTGAAGAGACCATTCTTTTCCTCTGACAGGGATAGAAGACCAGCTTAAGACAGCAGAAAGTATTCCACTGTCAGAAAACCTTTACAAATCCAGGCCATGTTCAGGGATTGCTGATGTTTTTAGTACTATGGAAGTAAGTCAAGGATACATTGGAAATCCATACCTGGCAAGGATATATCCTTTTTCTCTTGCAAACTTAATCCATATACAGAAATGTACAGCCACGTATTAATGAAAGAGGTAATATTTCCCTATGGAAATCCTTGTCATATCAGCATTTGCATCTCCATATTCTTAAAGCCCAATTCCAGACAAACAAGATACTTTATTTTATTTTTAGATAGAATCCACCTCTGCAATAAGAGTTTGTGCTGGGTCTGCCATTTCTTCCTCATTTCACAATGAGGTCTTAAGAGCTACCAGAAGCATTGAGCAAGCCCTTCTGCCCTGAAGCAAATACAATCTTTAAATCCTTCTAATATATAATCTCCTCTCTCTTGCAGTAATATATCAGGCTCTTCCTTTTCTCATCCTACTCCCAGAATGGATTCAGGTTGCAGCAGCAGTTCAAATAGTCAGTGGATTAACAGAGGAGCAAAGTCCATATCAGTGCTAAGTATGTTGTAGTTCAAAAGGTTACTAATCAGACAAAAACCTGATCATTAATAAATTTCCTTTCAACAAACCTCATCACAACAATCTGATCCCCTGTATTACAAGAGATACAGAATTCATTTTGCAAAGTTTGTTGAGAATAAGAACTCAACATAAGGCTGGAATTCTTCTAAAGAGAGACAAGAGGAAAGAAAGAAAAGCAGAATTCAGGAAACCTAATGGAGGAAAACAAACTAAAATAGGTGGAGAACAAAACAAAGGATCAGGAAGTGATAAACTGCAGAAGCTCAGACCTCTGGTAGTGTGGGGGCAACTGCAGAAGAGAATTTTGGTTTGGTCTGTGGCTATTGCCTGAAAGTAGGTACCTGATGTGCCTGCTGTTTCTATGGTACTGGCAGAAGACAGAGCTGAGGGTGCTGCTACCACCATATTGAAAACATCCTTAAATCTGCTTTCAGTTTTCACACCTCTTCAATGAAAACCTAAAACCCTTCAAGAGAAATCTTGCAAAGATAAAAGTGTTCCTGACTGTCTCCACGTGGAATCTCGTACTGGAGAATTGGGGACCGCAGCAGAGAAATCATCCTTACCATCCACAAACACTCCTCTGCTCCCAGAAGAGCTGTATTTCACACACCAAGTAACATTCTGTCGAGAATCTCCTGGACTCTGGGATCTGTACATGTGGTGACCCTCAGAAAAATCACTCTGTTTTTTGGGTGTAGCAGGAGGCTCTGTCCCAGGAACACCACCTCATGAGGAGAATTCTGCACTGTTCCACAGACAGAGTAGCAGGAAAGCAGCTGAGACAGGCACAGGCACTGCTCAACTAACAACCATATGCACACTGATACCCTGAACAGCCTGCTCAGAGGCCACAAAAGCAATGTGTTTTACTATGTGAGTGCTACATGAAAGGACCCTGTTGTCAAACCTGGCTAGGAGCTGCAGAGTATACACAGGATTTATGAGACTAACCTCTGGATTCCCCCAGAGCACAGGAAATTGCATTCCTTTGAGATCTGGACTGATGTTCATTGATAATGCAAAATTATGTTCCTCTGCAGGGAGACGAAAAGCAAAGCGAAAGCACTGGAAAGCCAAATAGCCTTATGTGGAGAACTGAGAGGACTGAAGAAGGGTAACAGCCTTAAAAACTTCTACTCTCCTCTCAACCCAGCTGAAGGGAGAACCTGCACATGCCAAGTACCGGGAGAAAATTACTTAAAAAGTCAAAGCTATCTTTCTTAAATGTGTGATTTTGAAAGGCAGAGTGGTATTACCTGCCTCAGCCCATCATGATCCTCTGTGAGGTGTCTGTATAAGGCTAATAAGGCAGACAGAAATTATAAAAATACCAGAAAGCAAATGGAACAAGCAGTAAATGAAGCAGAGAGAAGACAGCTCTGGCCTGAGTATGACTGAACTCTCATGGGTGGTAACTATTAGGCACCAGTATTTTCTCAGGCCATGTAAGGAGATGAATGGGTTTGGCTTTTTCCAAGCAGTTCTTCTGCTAATGGACAGTATTTTTTAGGCTATACAAAGCACACCTTAGTAGCCAGAGACAACTGGAAAAAAAAGAGAGAAAGGTTATGTTGATATCTGCTCTTCCTCCCTCCTCTTTTGGGCACAGTGCTCCAGATGAATCAAGGGAGACACAGACAAGGCACAGATTAAGCCATATATCCTAAGGAAATTAATTACCAAATTACTAACTTTGCTTTATATTATGTAAAAGGTAACTCTTGGTAAAATAAAGCTCTCATCTCATGACAAAAACAACAAGATTTCAAAACCTATTGGTCTAATGAGGAATAAAATTTAAGCCTTTTCCCTGAACCCACCATAAGCACTAATGTACTAATAAACAACAACCTGCTGACCAGAACACAAATCTGGGAAATGGGAGAATCTTCTCAGGCAACGCCAAGGCATGAGCTGCAGCATTCTAAATCCCATGGAGAACCCCAGCTCTTAGGTGAATGGTTATTTCAAGGAGACTTTTAACACTAGTCCTTAGAAGGATAAAACAGAGTTACTCAACTAAATGCTAATCTTCTCCCCAGTGGGAGAAAACCTATTTCTTACCTCAGAACTCTCTAGCCTTTACAGAACAAAAAACTACATTATTTGCAAGTCTGATGAGTGACTGGAAAATCTGAATGGAATCAACAAGAGATAAAATAAATAAAATTTGTTCCTCGGTTTCTACATTGACCTCAAAGTGAGGGAGCTTGAGAAAACTTCTGTAACTTGTCACTAGAGCTACAGCAATGGAAAGCATTTATTACCTCTCCATAACAGCATTCGTTCTCAATGACAGTAAGTGTACTAATAACGACTGATTGCAAAATCCCTTAGTTGAGAAAACAAACAAAACACAGGTTTCAGTGACTTGTTTGTAAGTAGATCCTGTGTCCTGTGTTAGGATTAACCCTGTGGCTGAGTAATGGGCACTGTGCAGAGCCCTGGAATCCTGGAGCAGGCAGGGTTCACGGTACACTCACCTCTGGCACTGCACAGTGAAAACATCTGGTTTGTGGACGTGAGCCATGGTACTTTCACTTGTACATGTCTGTCTTCTGCCAGAAGGAGATTTCTGCTGGAGAACCTACATTCTATGGAAAAAAAAGGAAAACAAGAAAAAAAGAAAAAAAAGAAAAATCCCAAGTTATTACAGACCAGAATTTTTAAATCATATAATATCTCTACTTGAAAGTGACCCATCTTTTGGTTTTCCTTTGCTTTTCTCTCCCCATTCCTCACTTCCTTTCAACCAACATTTATATATGCCCACACACTCACATACTTCCCTTGATGAGGGGGAGAAATTTAACAATTTATATTCCCTGAATGCACACTATCTTTCTTTTCTTTGTATGCATAATTTATGTACAATTTATACCTCTATTTTGGTTAATTTTTGATTTGTCTAGTTAGGTTACAGTTTTGATTTTGGGTGCTCTGGAAGTGGAATGGCCTGGTTCATGGTCAGTGGGACAGAAGCGAAACTGTTAAAGATAGAGGGAAAAAAAGGAAGCAGACATTATTTCCTCAGGTGAGGGAAGGCAGCCATAGAAAGAACAAGATTCCCTAGAAGGCTTGAAAAGCAGAATTGCCCCAGCACAGTGCTGATCTAAATGGAGCCTAGGAGGTCTCAGCTTTACAGGGAGTGGTATACAGACTGCCATGGAAGCAGTATAAGTGCTGAGCTGTTTAGTGATTTGATGATATTTCCACCAAAAAGTACAGACCACTGAGCTCCTTTTCTTCCACTACAACAGCAGTGATGTCATTAGGTATCACAGTAGTTTTCCTGTTTCAAGACGACATATCTCTGATCTGAAATAACCCAGAGAGGGGAGAATGGCTGGAGTCAGAGCACTGTGCAGCCAAAAATAATCTGGTTTGAGTTAGTGCTGGATGTTTGAGGATGTCAGAGTGACACTGTCCAGGGACAGACTTGTGTAGATAGCACAGGACTCTTGATTCAAAACTACCTTGCTGAATTCATAGCATATTAAAATGATAGCAGGGCATTAGAACTTCTTCTTCTAGATGAAAGCAGAGATATACACATGTTCTGTTCCCATCCAGGACATTTCCTTTGAACTATCTATCCAGCTTATCTCTTATCTGACATCCATATTTCACCATTTTCTCTCTACTGTCAAATACCTCGCTCCTTCAGGACCAGATCCACTGCAAACAGGGGCAGCACACAATGAGCCAACAGGCACTCACTTCACTGGATACAGAAACGGATTCATGATTTGCAATCAGCTGGACTAGTTGCTACAGACATAACTAATAACTGTGCTAGTTTCTTACTGATCTTGGCACAGTATGGCTCACCCCTGCTTCTCCTGATAACCCCATACATGTTCCTGCTGTTTCCTTCTTTGATCCTGCAGAACATTTTAATCTTCTTTTTGTTCTGTTTTGTTTTCCACAGGATTACCTCTTAGATCACTAACCAGAAAAAAAGCATGACTGTCCCTCTGTGCAGCAAGAGTATTTAAATACTCTTTTAAGAGTTAAAAAAATGTAAAACCACACCTTTTACTGAAGTGATTTTAATGTAAACATAAATTCCCAGTCTAAACACAAAATATTGAAGTTCAGCAGCTTAGGTAATTGAAAAGACATAATCCTAAATAAATAGAATGTATCTCATTTACTAATTTTTCTCTAAGTATTATCCAGAGTCAGGTACAGACATTTTTAGGTTTTACCCAAATTTTGCACAGACAATTTTTTAAGACTCAGAATTTCTAATTTTTGCCCTCAACAATGAAAAATAGCAGGGATATTTCACAGTAAATGCTGCAAGGAGCACTAGTTCATAGGAAATATTAATCTTTCTTCTCCCAAACTTAAACAAAGCATCACTTTCTCTGTACTTAATACTACATTTGGATCAGATTCCATTTCTGAATAATATGTACATAGCACTAAAAAGTGAAGAATAGTAGAGTTTTTTAATGAAATGGTAGAATTATAATTTTTAGCAAAATATAGAAAAAATTTTACTATTTGTATTTTGTCATTAAACACTGGTCTTATCCCTCAGCTTGATAACAAATTATCTAGTAATGTATTACAGAACTAAGCTTTGAATTTTAAAAAACCTAAATCTTTAGACTTCCAAATACACACAGGGAATATAAACCAGAAATGGAGAAAAGTGACTCCTAAATTACACTACACAACATATATTCTCATCTTTCACTTCATTCCTGTTCTGTGGCCATGGAACAACCTCACTTGCAGAAGCCACCCAGAGACACTGCTTCACCTGAAGAAGCTCAAGGCTTAGAGAAGCACATTGCATTGAAATCCCTTTGCTCAGCATAATCCTTATTAAAATTCCATTGAAGCCTCAAATACCCACTACTTCTGCAGAGACAGCCACTTTCTCAAAGATGTTTCACCTCCTCTGCACCTGTGGTTCACTTTTTGCTAATAAAGGCCTTTTGTCTACTTTCATTCTGCAGTTTCCTTCAAATTATACTGTATGTGTATCAAAGTGCTTCAGGGTCAATCTTCAATGCAAAGATGGAAAATCCTAAGAATGTATTGGGCAAATCAGCACTCTCCATTGTTACCTGATTCCATGACAGCTAGGGAAATCATCCTACCCTAAAAAAGCGTTGCAAGACATACTGTTCTGTTATAGTAAACTTGTTCAGAGCAGCTTACATGTGGGGATATTCTCAGTTCTTAAGAGGCTTGTCACAAGCTTTTCTTATTCTCAAAATAGAAATGAAGTGCAGAGCTAAACAGTGGGTGACTAAGAATAAAGACAAGATCCTTCAGTTCAAGCTAGTCCTTTGATACTCTATTTTATCAGAAGCACTTTTCAATTAAGCAGATTACAAGAACAGAGTTTCCCATCCAGCTTCTATTAGATTTATCAGTTGTGCTTGGCAGAGGATCTCTTGCAGCTAAGGGTCTATTATCTTTAATTAAATAATAACTTTCACATTGTTCTTGAATATTGTTGTCTGTATTCAGCAGGTCTGGAGAGACTATATGAAGCACTCGGACTCAACAGCCTGCAATTAGTAGAACATTGTCTTGAAAAAAACCTGTGATCTTAGCCCTACCAGTGTAAACCATCTCTTCAGCAGAAGAAACATTAAGTAGTCAAAATCTTCAGCAAAGTGCTGAAGAACATTCTTAAGAACAGGCAGAAGTGTGTTACTGATTTAAGCCATTTCCAGTTATTTTGTATTAGTCTGACATCAGTTTCCAGTTTCTATTTCCTGAAGATAAGTTTCAATTTTGAGTTTAGTTTTAAAAGTATTCTCAGTGCAACTGAGTCACCTTGAATATTTTCCTGTACATGGCACAGAGCTGCTCAGCTACATCTGCTTCTTCGGTCTTTCTTGTCAGATGCCATCCAAGCGATAAAGGGCTTTTAACTGGGTAGCAAAGCTGTCATTCCAGAGCAACAAAAGAAAGAGGTCCTATGTGCTGTTGTCATCAATGGAGTCACCAGTCAGCTCCCTTCACCTCTATTTTGAACACTGTTTTCCATGAACCTAACTGCCAAATGTAACAACATAAAAACTGGATGAAAGCATCACTGACCACACTGTTCATTTACTGATGGAAAGCATTTTTATTTGTAATTGTAGTTTCCTATAGATAATGTATTTTCTCGGAAGGTCACAATTTTGTAAATCAAAGTATAGATGTGTAAACTGCTCATTGAAGGCTGGGAAAGCTTCGTTTCCCCTCAGAAGGGATTAAAATAAATGTGAGTTATCCCACAGGCTAGAAACCAACACACTGCTTTGTATAAACCCCACTGTATTCAGTAAAAATAAGAGAACTGAATTACTCATATCACAGAGAAATTTGCAGCCTAAAGCGCTGAGTCTGAGGAAAATGTGGATCAGCAGCCCAGGGTTTTCTGAATGCTTCAATAAAACAGAAAAATTAGGGAAAAGAAAATGTGCCTTACTCAGATGGAACTGCTTAAATGTGTTTGACTTTCCTTGCTGTTATATGTTACTCTGCTGCCAGGCCCCACTCAGTCACTAAACACCTGTAACAACCACAGTCCATGCAGGACACAGGCACACAAGGGACAAACAGAAATCAAGTAAGAGGCAACAGCATAAAACTTGATGGATGACCAGTATGGCTGAGCAGGAGAGAGATGTCCCCAAACTACTCACACCTTCAGGTAGGTGGTATCCATCTACCAGTCTGAGGAACAGGGGGCTCAGGAAAACCAGAAGTACCTGAAGGGACAGTCTGTGCTGAATATATTGTACGAGAGAGTCCCCACCCCTCTGAGGCCCAAGTGTGCTCATTTTGAGTGACCATTGCCTCCCTGAAGCAAGAAAACTAAGGGCATGATTCCTCCCTCAGCAGGATCCAGGCTCCTACAGGGCTTTTGTCTCAGCAGGAACTGGAAACCAGGGACTACACTGTCAAAGGCAAGATTTCTCTACCTCAGTGCCATGCAGAGACTTCCAGCTCCTGCTTGCTTCTGCTGCCAGGGTGTGAGTCTTGACTGCTCCAGGAGGGAGAATCTGCTCCACACTGGTGCCATTTGATATGTAGCTGCTGTTAGCCACTATCCCACAAATGCACAAGGCAGATTACAGCCCCCCCTTGGCAGGTTTGGACACTGGTAAAGGGTAAGAAAACGCCCATTCTTCCCAGAAGGTGAGGTCAGTCCTCTCTTGAAGAGTGGCATTTCTCAGCTATCACTGAGCCCACAGCTGTCTGCTAAAGTGCAGGACAACTGAGGCAGCCCACCTCACTGGGCTCCTGGGAACTCAGCAGCAGTGGCTTTACTGTCCTCCCCCCAAAATGGAGACAAACTAACTTTCACCATATGAGAGCAAGTACTTGGCACATCTGTATCACCCCCACGTTGGACACTGTGCAAAACCACAGACTCCACCACTTGTCTTCCCAACAGGAGGTGAGGACTTCTGCTCATGACCTCCTCAACTGAGTGAAGGAACAGCTTGTGGCCACACCAGAATTGTTCCTTAATGTATTGGCAGGTGCACAGATGGTTGAAGGCTTTGTTCAGATAATCTCAAGCAAACTGTGCACACACAGATATACTGCACATTGCAGTCACTGAGTGGTGCAGCAAAAACTTTACCCTAATATGGAACTTACATGGAGTCAGCAGGAGATATACCCAGGGTAACCTGGGTAAGATTCACTTCTGGGTTTTGAAGTACCAGAAAAAATAATGTTATCACTGCACTTCAGATTAAGCCAGAAGAGTGCCTCTTCCCCCAGCTGAGATCAGAACTACTGCAACCTTTTTACTATGAAATAGGAGAAAACAATATACCAGGAGGAAGGATGAGTGCACTACAGTGTTGTCCAACAAAATTGCTGTTTTATCTATGTTAGTTAAAGGTGCAAGACTAAATCATTCAATGGATAGCTCCTCCTGTGAGAGTATTTCCTCTTATGAAAGGACATGGTGGCAGATTGAGGGCAAAGATAGCTCAGCACAAATGTGATTTAGATGATGGGATGCTGGGTTGTTTTTAGACTACAGCACAGATGGTGCCAATCTACTGTGAAGCTGGGGTCAGAAGTCAACTGAAATTCAACTAAAAAATGGGAAATTATTTGGGGAATGAAAATAAACAACTATGCAACAGTGGGGTTTAGAGGAAGGGAGTCCAGGAAACTTCTGGTGAATTTCCAAGATCCAGTGAGTGCTGAAATACCATCCCTGGCCAGAATCTATGACAGTTTCCACTACAGCTTGCTTTTAGGGATGTCTGAGTCCATCAAATGTTGCCAGAAAAAGGCCTGTATCCTGCGCCATGCATCTTCTTGGGCTTTAGCATGCTCTCTCCACTGCCCTCCCCAATGCACCAACATCCCAAGCACTCTGTGGATTGAAACTTTGCACAGAGGCAAGTATGGTGGCTCCAGGAGGTGCCCTGCTCCAGCATAGGAGTAAAACTCCACTTCCCGGCCGTGCTGCTGAAGGCGCTGAACGGCATCCTGGCAATAGAGGTCACTTTTCCAGTTCATGTCATCCAGTCCACACAGGAAGAGGAACTTGGCTAAGGACCTCTCCACAGGAATGCGACAATCCCAAGTTGCTGGGTCCATGTGATCATCTAAGACATCTGAAAAATCTACTATTCCATCACTGATCTTCACCCTCCCCAAGTCATATGGGTGGACAGGAATAGTGAAGCCATCCCCCTCCAGGGGAATGAAGGAATTAAAACTACTTCCAGATATGCTGACAGCTGCCTTGATGCCAGGTAGAAATGTGGCCATGGAAAGGGCTAGATCACCTCCTTTAGACAAGCCCAAAACGCCAATGCCAGTATCTTTCACCTGAAAGAGAATTATGAAAACAGTAATATTAAGTACTCTTTATTTCCTGAGCTGACATAACCTCTCCAGTTTTTCTCACTCATCCAACTATGACCACTCACATTTTGCCCCTTCCCTCTCTCTGTTCAGGTTATATTACTCCTTCATCTATCCCCCTGCTGAGCCTCTAAAAGAGCGACTTTGAATTCTACAGCTCCTCAACATTCCTCCTCCTGTAACACACTTGCCTCCTGGTGACCTGCACAGACAAAGTGTCCCTGCTCCCTCCACATCTCAGCTCAGCCTGCTCTCAGTACAGTGTCTTTTACTGCTCCTCTCTCCAAGACACTTTTTCCTGGATTTTCTTGCATTGAATTTCTTCATTGCAGTTTCTTCTCTCCTACAGCTGACCTGTTATTTTCTGTGTTGTCTTGGAAGACAATGTTCATTACACCTGACGCTAAGTGAGCCCAAAAGCTGTTTTAATCAACTTATTTCTAGTGAAGGCCCTTCACACTGAATTCTAGATGTTTCAGAACTCTCTGAGGAACAAGACAAAGAAGCAAGGCTGAATTCTGCTCTCACACTGCCTACAATGCTGGTGTCCATGTAATAGAAAGTAAATAATTTTGCAAAACAAATACACATTAAGTAGCATTGCATTAAAAAATTAAATGCTACTTGATTTCTCTTGGTCACTTTCAGGCTAAGTATGATGATACATTGCCATAAAATGTCTTTCTTGTCCCACACACTTGTTCAAATACAGCCTCAGCCTCTTAAGATATGTCACACCTCCAGTGCTACAACTGTGAAGGATTCTGTTGTTAGAGTGTTTTATTGCTGTCCTGCAAAACTCAGGATCAAAAGCCTGTAATATCTCAGAAACAGTAAAAAAGCCAATGGATTCTTTTTCCCTTCTAAAATCTTAAGATATGCAAAACTAGTACAAAATTAATGTTTCCTGCTTAAGCAATTTAATACTTCCAGTTTAGGAACCAATTAGCAAACTGGAAAATACTTTCAGGAAGGTCACCATAATTTGTCTCTTACCTGCTGCTGTTTACACAAAAAGTTCACAGCCTCCTCAAAATAGCTCAGTTCAAGGGTCTTTGGCATAGCAGGGATGTCTTCAAAGGACATGTAAGCAAGGGCCAGAGTCACAAAGCCTCTGCTAGCCAGGAGACTTGCTCTGTATTCAATAAGACCTCCTCCAGATCCATACAAATCAATAAGTCCAGGGAATGGGCCAGGTCCTGCAATGAAAGGAGGGGGTATGCATAACCAAAAGAAAAGTTCCTCTGGGTGTCCTTTTGTGGTGCCTCCTCAGCACACATCAGGACAGTAGACATAAGAAGAAAATCATCCTCTGAAGCTTTCCACGGTTGGTGTCATTCTCAGGAACACACAAAATGACTGTAAGGACATGAATTTGCACATTTCTTTCTCTCTTAGGAACTCATTATAGGAAGTTCACATGTTGGACATCCTTCTCTCATCCTGAATTTCAGCTGGCATTGGCCTACAAGTCCTCAGGCCATTGAGGATCAATGAAGAAACAGTATTACTGCAGGAGTGGCTCTTCCTTAGGCACTATGCTAGCAGGCATGCCATGAAGGGAATACTTGAGTTATGAAATACTCAGGTTATGAAATATTCACAAATGCCAGAACTGACCTGTGCCAATTCAGGCTTCAGTAAGACCTGAGTAATTTCCCCTGAGCTCCTCAGCTCTCCTGCAGCAATGGGACCTTCCTTTCCTGATGCTGTCTGCCCATTCTCACAGCCAGATTTCCCTTACAAGATGTGGTGTTGCTGCAGCTGCAAGGGACTGTTTATTAACTACAGAGCAAGAGCGCCATGTTTAAGTGCCATTCAAGGAGCAGAAACACTTCAGGCTTAAAGCAGCTTTGCACAGGATCCATTCTCAGCACTGTCTGTGTACAGAGTTGTAAAATACGGCATCTGTTTAATTAAAGACCTTGCTTTTCCCATTTGTCTCCCATCTCCCTAAGTAACCCATGCAGTCCAGCTGCCCAGTCAGGAAGAGACTTCTTTCTTTGGCTTTTCCTTAGCTAAAGAGAGACAGGTCCAGAACCTGCAGGAAGACCTGTAGGAGCTGCTGAGGGCATGGTTCTTCAGCCTAGGCTGGCTGCAGCCTGAGTCCAGTGCTCCTACCATGCCTTGCCATTCTTCACCCCACAGCCAGAGCTGTCACGCATCACAGCTCTGCCAAGGACCGGGGCCTCTTTGTCCTGGCAGCTAAACACAAAAGCTAAGAAATAAACACACCGTTTGACAAAGCTCTCACTGCAAGAGAGGTCAAGACACTCAACTAGAGCAACCAGGGGACACCTTGTTTTACCACTGCTGTCCCCTCTGCACCACCATACCCCTGCCCCGCCTGGGCAACACCCGCTCCTGTTTGCTCGGCTGTGATGATCCAGGTGCCTGCTCCAGGCACAGGCTGAGGGAAGTGTTAGCTGAGGCTTTGCTCTGGGTTGCTGAGTGCATTCAGGGACCACGGGGCAGAATACTTGGTGTCAGACACACCTACAAAAACAGAATGGAATTAAACTCACCAGGAGGGAGGAAGAGGGTTGCTCTGAGACGACCTTCTCTGACCGGAATCCTCTTCACTCCCTCTCCTAAAAACCATCGTTCATTGGTGCATTTTCCCAGCAAGCGGCTCGTGTCCTCCCCGTGGCCCTCATACACTTCCAAGTCCACACAGAAAGGGGTCAGGACGTTCCTCTTTGCCAGCCGCTTATAGGGCGTTTTGGACTGCAGAGCCCAGAGCAGCCCCATGGGCTCCACTCCCAAATAGCTGCCCCCCAGCGCTGGGGAGCGGCTGAGGTCCAGCTCCCCGCTGCTCCCAGCCCTGTAGAGAGCGTGGGATTGGAAAAGCTCCCCGCTCTCGTCCAGCAGGCTGGCCCGGAGGGTGACCGCCTGCTGCGGCTGCAGTCCGGCCACACGGATCTGCACGGGCTCATCGAACAGGCACCGGAGGGAAGGCAGGACGGACAGACGCGCCGCCATCCCGGCTGGCCGGACGGGGAGCTGCGGCCCTGCCTGGGGCGAGGCACCGACCGCCTGAACTTCGTGAGACACGAGCCTCAGCAACCTGTCCCTCCTCGGGATTAAAATCTCTGCTCAAAGTCCAGGAGGAATCATCGTGAGCACTTCCTTCACTCGGCCGGCACGGGCTGCTGGGAGCCGTAGTTCAGAGCCCGCCTCCCGCCAGACTCTCCGGCTCGGGTGGCACGGTGACACCGGCCACTGGCACGGGCACAAGCTGTCACTTGTTCTTGGCGAGTGCTTTTACTTTTGATTACAGACAGAAACTAAATTAAAAACCCCAAAGCAGCAAAAAGAGATATCGAAATTGCAGCGCCCCCCACCAGCTGCAGGAAATCCCAGATTTGGAAGGCTTGGGAGACTTTGCCACGGCACAGTAAACACAGACAAGCTGCAAAGCCTAAGCAGCGTGACATCTTAATCTCACCACGAAACAAAGCCTGCTCTTGATCCCTCTTGAGCCTTCTGCAATTTTTGGACAAGCACCACAAGTTAAAATGAAACTTTACACTATAACTATGCTTCTTTTAAAAAGCAAAAGAAACTAAGTCAAAAAATTACTAATTTTTTCCTTCCCAATAATTAATTTCCCCCATACTAAAAATGTTTCTAAGGATCTGTTTGAATATTTAACAATAAACACCAGCTTTTGGTTTTCATAAACAACAATACTACATTTTTGCAATGTCTGTGTATTTAAAAGACTTCTTGTCCTACCCTGAGGGTCTCAGACACGCGAGTAGTCCCATCCCATTCTGTGGAAATAAAAATGGGAATTATGGCTCTTTGAACCCGGCTCCTGATTCAAACAACTTGCCTGACCATGCTCTAAGCAGCAATTAATGGCAAAGGAATGAAACAATCAGTGAGCTTACAAGCTGTAGAATCATACCTCACACCATAAGACCACAGATGATATGAAGATTGACCACAGATATGGCAGAGCAACTCTAAAATCATCCCTCAGGATGCAAGAGAATGCAGTTATGTTTAAATACAACAGTGAAAAGAAATAAAAAACAGCACTAAAAATGTGTAGCTTTTTATTGGAAAATAGCCAACATTGACTTTTGCATGTCCTCCTAGATGTCCTTCAGCCATTGTTTACTTTGGAAAAAAAAAAGTAAATTATTACAGAAATAAGGTTTCAACTGACCTATTTATTGCAGAAATTGTAGTTTCTCACCATCAAAACACCACAGCCACTGAACTTAAAGAATTACAACAGGACAGACTTTTGCCTTAAGCAGAATGCATAGATTGGACTATTGCAGCCTGATGCATAGAGCAGCAGACCCTTCCTTGTCCACTTGGGTTGTAATGAAAACAATCTGT